GCAGTTCTTTGTGTTTTGATCATGAAAAACTGTTATTTCTTTTATTTTGACAGGTACTGTCACTGTGAGAATATTATTCTGGGACACTACAATAACCCTGACTTGTACTACTGCTGCAGTGGAGCACTTCACAGGTGATTACTGGTTTTAACGAGTGGTCTGTTTATGGGTTGTGTAAAATATTCACAGTACACACTTCTTCAGTTACTTCCACATGACTTACACAGTACAGCATCCCTGCAGGAGCAGTTTCTTTCATCTCTGCAGGACCAGACTACACACCCACGGAACAGCAGTGATTAAAAGCGTCCATTCCAGTTTGTCAAACCTCCCAGCTGACCTTTTACAACTAGAGCAGGCCCATTTATCAGTAAACAAAACCAAAAACAAGTGCCATGCTATCGGCACAAGACTGACTGAGGAGCTCTAAAGCACAGTTGGTGTTAAAGCCATTTTATTTTCAATGATTTTGTCCTATATGGTTAAACTGACTCTGATTGTTTCTTTGCTTTGGCAAGGCAAGTTGATTTGTATAGCACATTTCAACAACAAGGTAATTCAAAGTGATTTACATATAGTGAAAGTGATATACATAAAAGCAACAGGGAAATATAAAATTTTTTTAAAGAGTTAAATAGATAATAAGAACAGGCATGTCTCTCACCTTTGCTTATTTTACTCCTTTGATTCCCCATCTCCCACTCTATCCTTTTTTTTTTAACACTTAGGGACTCTAACCATAAGGGGACTCTAACACTTTAACACTTAGGGACTCTGCCCATAAGGGGACTCTAAACCTTTCTTAGATACAGTCATCACTGTAAATCCAGATTATCCACACTAAACACTCTGGTAAAAGCGGTTGACAGCGGGCCCTGTCAACAAGTTAACAGTGGAGAAAACAGGGACTCTAACCCTTGTAATTCTACTGGCCCTATTAACTCAGGGTCAGCCATGTGAGATGGTACACTCAAAAGAGTTAAAGTTACTGTGAAAGTTATCAATCTACAGCTTTAAATTTTATTTAATGAAAGGCAGTGGTAAAAAAAAGTCTTCAATCTTAATTTAAAAGAACTAAGAGTTTCAGCAGACTTGCAGAAATTTATTTTGGCCCTAAACCATTCAGTGCTTTATAAACCAACAGCAGTACTTTGAAATCAATTCTGACAGACAGGAAGCCAATGTAAAGACCTCAGAACTGGAGTGATGTGATCCACTCTTTTGGTCTTAGTGAGGACTCGAGCAGCAGCGTTCTGAATCGGCTGCAGCTGTCTGATGGATTTTTTAGGGAGCTCTGTAAAGACACCGTTACAGTAGTCGAGACGACTGTAGATAAATGCATAGATAAGTTTTTTCCAGGTCCTGCTGAGACATAAGTCCTTTAATCTTTGAGATATTCTTCAGGTGATAGTAGACTGATTTTGTAATTGTCCTGATGTGGCTGCCTAAATTCAGGTCTGAGTACATGACTACACCAAGTTTTCTGGCTTGGTATGTGGTTTTTAACATTACCGACTGAAGCTGAGCACTGACTTTTAATCTTTTTTCTTGGCTCCAAAAACAATAACTTCAGTTTTATCTTTGTTTAATTGAAGAAAATTCTGGCACATCCAATTGTTAATTTGTTCAATACAGTTACTCAGCACTTGTATGTGATAACTTATTTTGTTATTTTTCATAATCTGAGCCAGTGGAAGCATGTAGATGTTAAACAGAAGAGGCGCCAGAATGGAGCCTTGGGGAATGCCACAAGTAATTTTTCTTAGCTCAGATTTGTAATTACCTAGACACAAAATAGTCCCTTTCCTTTAAGCAGGATTCAAACCAGTTTAGTACTGTGCCAGAAAGTCCCACCCATTCCAATTTAAAGCCACACTGTCTTATCCCCTGCTGTTCTGTGTAACAGGGAAGCAGGCTTTTATCTTTGGCTGATGTAGAAACAAAAAGAGAAACTAAATAGTTTACCTGATATGAATCTTTATTTACATATATGGTATGTTAATAGGTAACAGTTAATTCACACAAAGCTTTAAAGCCATAATGGCGAGTGACAAAAAGGTTATAAAACCTGAATGGCAATTTACTCCTGACAACTGTGATTTAATTTCCCTTACATGAAACTCCCTGTTGTGGGAGTTCCACTTTTCTATTAAAAACCACTGATCTGCATAAATCCCAGCACTGATTTATGATCTTTGAAGGCACAAACTAAACTTCACTTATTGTGTCTAAAAAACACTGTGCTGTTAAATCTCTGGGTGGCATGTTATTCAGTTACTGTGGTTGGAAAATCACACCAGAGACTTTGATTAATGAATCTAATTTAATAACTTTCTCATAGGAAGAATTCATTAGCTTAATTTAAAGTCTATGTTGAGGACTTATATGAAAACCTGCTGAAATATGATATTACACCTGCCAGTACTGTTTGTTTTATAAATATTTCTACAGTTCTGTGCAGACACAGAATCTGTGTATTTTACAGTTTTGAATGATTCTACAAGACACAAATGGATGTAGATGTTCTTTGCTTTTCTGAATTGTGAGAGAAGCTGATTCTCTAAAGAAAGATCAATCTGTGGCTCAGGTAGTTGCCATTTTAGTCCCCAAGGCCTTAAAGTGATAGCATTGTGGAAGGTAGATCAAAGAAAATAAATAGAAAAGAATGAAAGATTGGTACATCTCTAAAAATCAAAGGAAATTCTGTTGAACATGGAATAAAATGTTCCCATATTTACTTATTTGGTGCCTCCTTAACTTGTCCTCATTTGGGGAAAGAAAAACGAAGCTGAGCATCCACACGTGTTTGTGCTCAAAAATAGAAGTGAAAAAGATTAGAACCTCTTTGCTTGCAACGAATGAATTTCATTTTAAGTGATGCTCTATGTGTGTATTAATATACTGCAGGACAAAAAGTGCAGAGAAAAAACAGATATATGCACATTTCGAGTTCTTCCTCAGGCATCACCAAGCACGAAGAAGGAGCACTGAACTTGAAACTTGTCACATATCTGCATGTTAGATCTCAGCCACCCTATCTTCTGCTTAAAATGTGCTTCCGTTTATTCATGCTCATCAAACGCAAACTAAACAAACTGTTCACCCTTTGCAAGCAAGGAAGATCCAGTCTTTTTCACTTCAGATTATACTTGGTACTACTGTATACTACATATAGTATGTGACACTTTTGATATTAACATGGTGTCAAATGATTCAGCATAGTGTGAAAGGGTTAGTCATAGCACTGGAATTCCTCACCAGCTCTGCGCAGCTTGTAGCCTATTTTAGGTCATTGTTTTGGTTTTTCGACACATACTCTATGGTTGAGTGTCACAGCTCTAATCAACCAACCAACCCAACCACCTCCACTAATACCATAAAAGTTAATACACTTTGATGTAAAATTTAAGGGGGAAAAGGCCCAGATTCTAATTTTACAGAGCAAATATAATATATTTGATCAATCTGGCTATTGTTGAGAGAAATATAGAAAATCTGAAAAACTGTTATTTCTTTTATTTTGACAAGTACTATTCTGGGGCACTACAATAACCCTGACTAGGTGCTGAATGTGGAGCACTTCACAGGTGATTACTGGTTTTAACAAGTGGTCTGTTGATGGATTGTGTAAAATATTCACAGTACACACTTCTTCAGTTACTTCCACATGACTTACACAGTATAGCCTCCCTGCAGGAGCAGTTTCTTTCAACTCTGCAGGACCAGACTACACACCCACGGAACAGCAGTGATTAAAAGCGTCCATTCCAGTTTGTCAAACCTCATGGATGACCTTTTACAACTAGAGCAGGCCATTTATCAGTAAACAAAACCAAAAACAAGTGCCATGCTATCGGCACAGGACTGACAGAGGAGCTATGAAGCACAGTTGGTGTTAAAGCCATTTTATTTTCAATGATTTTGTTCTATATGGTTAACCTAACTCTGATTGTTTCTTTGCTTTGGCAAGGCAAGGCAAGTTGATTTGTATAGCACATTTCAATAACAAGGTAATTTAAAGTGATTTACATAAAACATAAAAGCAACAGGGAAATATAAAAAAGTTTTAAAAGATGTCTTTCTGTCTTTTTCATTATGGTTTCTCTCGCTGTACAACGCAACTTCCCAACTCACTAACATTACACTCCCTCTCTCTCTCTCTCTCTCTCTCTCTCTCTTGCTCTACTGCATCTGCTCGGACAAGTAGCATGTACGTAACTCAGAAGAGAGCTCACGGTCCGGTGGATTTCAGGTGTAAGAAAGGGAATTTGTGGGCAGATGATAACAAGGTAGAGGAGGAAGAGGGCCACATTTTTAATATTGGACCACACAAAAACTTGGACCACATATAAAAGTGGCCCAAATCCGAACTGGAAAAAAAATCAGATTCCATGTGACTTGGCCTGTTCCCACTGTCATAAAAAGATCAGATCTGAGTCACATTTGGGCAAAAAAAATCAGATTTGTGCCATAATGTCCTGTGTCCTGTGGATGCTGGCTCAATTTTTGCCACAACGCAATGCAATACAATCTGGCAATGCACTGTGTTAGACAATCAAATACATTAAAAAATACCTATCAGGTATTGTATCATTGTGCTAATTTCACAGTTTACTTTACAAGAAACAAAGAAATACTGTTAACAAGATGACTCATAGAAGAATAAATGTGTTTGATAGGTCTTCAAACGGGACCTCCTTCTAATCCATCTTCCTACTGATACCCTGTAGTAGCAAACACATAACAATGCATCCCCTTTGCAGTGTTTATCTAGAGGGTTATTGTGGGTCTGAATGCAGTCCGAAGTAAGAAAATATTTGTTTGTACCCATTACTAAAAATTAGGGTAGTGTTTTGGACACTTTCTGTTCCATAGTGGTCAACAATGACTTAATGTAGCTTTAAATAGAAGCTACAGTCCATCTACAATCTAGCCACCATTTTCATCATTCATTGAAAGAGTCTTGAATGTATTTATACATTTGTGTGTGTTCAGTGTACCATGAGACTGGTCCTCCATGTGTCCCAGAGTTTCAATCTGTTCCACCAGATCATTTGAGTTCCACTGACTCATGCCCAGAAGAATGGCACTCTTCCCCTCCATAACATCTGCTGGGACACACAGACAAGTACACACATATACAAAGAGGAGTAAGACAGTGCATCAAGACAAGATCCCATTTCTCTCTCTCTGCATATTAATAATATAGCAACGCATTGTTGTTGAAGCTCAAACTTATTAAAGCTAAATATTACACACCCTACAGACCAAGGGTTCACCTGTGCTGGTGTTTTGACTTATTTTGCCAGATTATACTTCTTCACAGGTTGTTGATTTCCCTCACGCTCATGTTAGTTTTGTGGTGCCTGTTAGGGCAGATAGTTAAGTTACACCTTTATCAGAGGGTGCACCGTAACACCTGACCAGCACAGTTTTGATTTGTGCCAGTTGGGCTTATACCATCCTGGCTAGACATTCAGACATGTGCAAGTAAACAAAACAACAAAATTCCACTTGACTCATAAACCCATTTCTTTCATGTGGCTGAACACAAATGGAATAGCTATTGTGCTGTCTTTGCCAAAACTTGTCCAAAGGCAAAATTAAAATTTGGCCTGAATGATGCTTACACAGATTAAATACACCCTAAAGACAATGGTGTGACATGTTTATTCAGCTGACCAACTAAATATATATGTTTCTATCCTGCACAAAAACATGTATTATACTTTCGGCCACACTACAGGCTGCTGTTTGATTATTAGCTGATAAAGATTCAATGTCATACTGCCCTCCATTTAAAGAAACCCTGGGGAGTTTCCTTGTACATTTACTGTTTCTTGCAAAAACACAGTGTGCAATATGATGAAACCTGCAGTGAAATGTCCATGTTTACATCAGCTAACAATCTTCTTATTCCCTGCCCTTTGGTAAGTATATTGATTTATGTATTGGCAGTTTAACACCAACAATGGATCACTGAATAGTGTGAAACTGTCAGCAGGACTGTGTGTCCTCGTACATGGAATAGCAGAGCATGAGATACAAACAAAACAAAGACTTGCTCATCAAAACAGTGCTCTGTGGTCAAAAACTCCACAGTTAGATTATTAGAACATCAGTTTTATTTTAATAGCTCTGACCATAATTTCTATAATTGCTGACATCGCTGAACATGGTGAAAAAGAAATAGGTTCATCAGGGCAAAAACATGCACAGTCTAACAGGCTGTAAATAAACGCCTCAGATTAGTCATCCATATCTGGAAGTGAAAGTGAATCGTAAAATCACTGCCCATACCGTCCACCATAGTTTATAGCCCTACTTCCTCATTCAAATTTGGACAACTGTACTGTCAGTGATCTGGTTTGGATATGTTCCATGTGTCTTTGTAGTTGTCTGTCTCCAGTGTTCCTTGTCTTGTGTTACTTCCTGTCCTGTTGCACCCGTCTCGTTTCCCTGAATGTTATAACCCGTGTCTCATTAGCCTCACCCCTCCTGTGGGTATATATATGGTGGTCTGTCTGTTGTTTGCTGCTGGTTCATTGTTATTATTCATGTCTCATGTGTTTCTGCTCCATGGATATTGGCTTTCCCTGCTTTTTTGTTTCTGGTATGTTTGGACTTGAGTACCACGAAGCAGAATTTGGGCTTAGTGAGGTAACTTTCGTGTTAACCCTGGGTTTTCAGTACCAAGACGGTGGTTCACTTCTTACTGGGGTAGATTGCCAGGTTAACTTATTAGTTAACCTGCTCCAGAGCAAGTTATGTTTCAGATAAGAGAGAAACTCTGTGAAAACCATCCTTAAACGATCTCACACTGTTTTTATAGGCTGCTTTTATGTTTGCCGTGGTGATGCAGAGAAACTTTTGTATAGCAATATCATCCTACAGGGACAGATTTAATTAGGCTACTAAAGCCTTGTGAGCTACTACTTGTTACAGTCTTTTAACCACTATTTGAGCACCTTTTATGGCATTAATGGATTTTTTGTTTTGTTGCGCAAGTTAATTTAGAATAATAATTGGAACACTTGAGTGTGTTAAATAAATTAATCAGATTTTTGTGAGGGGAAGTTCTTGAAAGTGAGTTGGAATGACCACTTAAGTGCCTGAGACTTTTTAATGTAGAAACGCTGACAGACAGCCGAGATGAAATAAGGCTTGTCATACATGCCATAAGAACACATCAAATAAATGCATTCATATTATAGGCTACGCCTTTTGATTTAGGCATTCACACTGTCTGCAATTTTTCTGTTAGGGTTAGTGAAGCCAGATAAGCCAGTTTTCCTAGTATCTGCTTCCCCTTGGACATATTATCCATAAACATGGCATTTCTTTTAATATTTATGCTGATGACACACAAATATACTTGCCCGTCAGATCCACAGACCCTGGAATGCTGAGTTCACTTAACAGCTTTTTTTTTTTAAGTTAAAAAATGGATGTCAAATAATTTCCTCCAGCTGAACTCAGACAAAACAGAAATCCTGGTCATTGGGTCCCAGCAGATGGCTAGTAAATCACATTAAGCCTGTTGCAAAGAACCTTGGTGTTTGGTTTGATAGTAATTTAAATTTCGAGCAGCACACCACAAAGCTTGTTCAATCACGTTTTTATCAACTTAGAAATATAGCAAAAATTCTATCTATGTTAACTTTTAAGGACACCGAGACCATTTTACACGCCTTCATCTCATCACGCCTGGATTATTGCAACAGCCTTTTCACTTGTTTAACCCAAAAATCTACTGATCGACTCCAGACTGTCCAGAACTCAGCTGCCAGGCTTTTAACCAGAACAAAGAAATATGACCACATTACTCCTATTTTAGCTTCATTACACTGGCTCCCAGTATGTTTTAGAATTGACTTTAAAATTCTATTGATCACTTTTAAAGCTCTTCATGGCCTCTCGCCTTGTTATATTTCTGACCTTTTAGTCCCATACACACCAGCACGTACCTTGAGATCCTCGGGCAGAGGTCTGTTGTCTGTTCCAGAGATTGTCAGAGAGTTTTACTTTATCTCCAAATGAATTGGTAGATAATCTATCTCTTGACCTATTTTTAGTAATATTACCAGATTCCAAGATTCCAAGCAATGACTTTGAGTACAATGCTACAAAAGCTAATAAACCACAGTTATAATCCATAGTTTTCCTTTAAGCATGATTTCCAACCCTTTCTATACACCTACGCAGCCAAATGGAGTATCGCCATTATAACATAAGAGTTTCTCATATAATTCCCAGCGGAGCGTCACCTACATTAAGCCTGAGTAGAGGTCTAAACTGTCAGAAAAGTGTTGGCATGCAGGCCCTTAAAAACATGGAAACAACACACTGTCATGATAAATGACAAGCTCTGTTATAGGGGAGAATATCTGAGTCAACCAAACAGACAATCCTGGTGGGCTGTGTGGTTCAGCATGACCAAAACGGTTGTCTACACGTCACACAGAGTCATTCAACACAGTCTGTGACAGGATGAGTCATGCAGCAAGAATACCCACTACCTGACTGACTTCTCTCCTCTCTCTCACACATTCCTGCCTGGCAGCTCTGAAAGACTCTGACGCGGGTCTACACAGCCTGTCCATTTGGATCACACAGCGGCCAGTCTGCTGGTCACAGTTTGTCTTTCGCTATCTGCTTTGACTCTCTCTCTCCCCCTCCCCTCTGCTCAGACAATACTGAGCTGAATGTAATGATGCAAGGACATAACACACACACTTGCAGATTCAAACATACACAGACAAGCTCAAAAGCAAGAAAATGGAGAGGAGCAAGAAAGAGGCTCAGAGAGATGCATACTAGATCTGAACAAAGTGTTGCAGGATGTAAGCAAGCCTGTGCTTGGACAAGAGGAGAATGCAAAACAGGCTTTACACCAAACCCTGAAAGCGCAGGTTACTGAATCATCTCCTACAGGGAGAGCTGAACAGGGATGCTCGCAGCCAAATCAGACGCTCCTCTGAGAAGCAAAATGTGTTTGAGCTCAGTAAAAAAAATACCTACTCTAAAAACTGCAATCCACAGAAATCAGGCATAGCACAAACAAATGAAATGCACAAATGATCAAGAGAGTAAAGCCAAAACATTGAAACCACCACATCTCCTACTTTTGGAACATAATGGAGAACAGCAAAATCTGATTTGATCAACAGGCAGAAAGAGAAATAGACGTGTGAGATTTGCCTGCAGCCAACATCCCAGAGGGAGAGAAAAGAGATTTAGAAACATCCTTCAACCTGTCAGCTCACAGTGAGTAAGTGTCAGAGTGGAAGAGGGAGGAATAGATGCCGGTTGTTAAATGATGAGGAAACAGCCTCAATTGACTGCTACCACTGCAATTTGTCTCATCAATTTCTTGATTTCATCATCATGCATTAGTTGCAACAGTGGAATTATCAAAAGAATACTTCTGGCTTAATTTTAGGCCTTTTTAACTTCTAGTGATGCACTATGAAAATGAGGTTGCTTAGGGGATAATCCCATTAAATGGCATAAACAGGATGAGTCTGCCAGGTAAGTAGGCTACCAAAGATGGATGGCATTGAAGCATAGCTTAGAAGCAGACAATATCTGTAATTGGATTTACAATAGTGAGAATAAATATATATCAAAAATGGGTAGTCATGTTCTAATTCTTAAACAGTATTCACACTCAGCCCGTTCTCATCCCGGGCATCAAATACAGATGCTTTGACAAAGCTTTGAAGATTGGTAAAAAGCGTTGGTAAAAAGTTTTAAGTTGCATAACGTTACATACATGAGTTATGTCACATAATGTACTTATTTCAACCTAAACCATGATCTTTACCTGAACTTAACTATCAAAATCAGGATCTTTTCCTAAACCTAACTAAGTACTTTTGGTACCTTTTCAAAACGTTAACCACATCTTAAAAAGGCATTTCATACGGACACTGAAGAGCACTTTGTCAAAGCCTTGGTATTTGATGCCCTGGAATGAGAACATGTTGTCAAACTAAATGGTCAATGCAGAATGGCTCTATGGATCTTCAGTCCACCACCACAGACTGAAATATCAACTATTGGATGGATTGCCATGACATTTCGTGCAGATATTTATGGTCCCCAG